CAGGGAGCCCGGGCTGCTGTGGGGAGACCTGAAGCCTCCACCTGTCCTGGGTGGGGGGCCAGGGTGCCCAAGAACAGCCCCCGGCCCATGTCCCCGCCCCCTGGAGGTGCACCACCAAGAGCAGGGGGCGGGTCCAGGGCTCCCCACAAAGGCCTGTGCTCCCTGCGTGGCTCTTACCACAGCCCGGCTCTGGCTTCTGTCCTGGACAGGGGGAAAGAGAGGGGAGGAGGGCGGGGCAGGGTCCCATGGTGAGCAGGGGCTAAGGCCCACCTCAGCCACCCACCGGGAAGAAGCTGGCACTACTACAGGGGCTGTGCTTCACAGCAGAAAAGCTGATTTTTAAAATTGTCTGCACTCTTCTTTAACCTAAAGCCTTCTACAGGGTGAGGGCGCGGGGGTGGGAAGGACTCCTAGCTTCTTCAGACACTCCAGAGGGTGTCTGTAAATGTCAAAACCCTCCTTCCCCTGAATAGTTCCCCAACATCTGCCCACCTCTGCGGGAGAGTGCATTTTAAATCTAATCAAACATGATTACTCTACAACTTCTTATACATACACAGTTCTGCTTATGCTGTTAAACATTATCAGACCACACTCTTAAAATTCACAGCAGGCTTCTGTCAGGTCTAAATATGCCTTTGCTCCCAACAATATCCAAGACAGAATTCCTTACTTACACATTACAATCTTTATGAGAAAACTAATAAAAATAAAGCCCTATTACTTATGCATTGCATGGTGCTCAAAAGGATTACTCAGTCCTATTGAGACTTAAGTGTTCTGGGAAAGGACTCTATCGTCTTTGATTATTTCCCTGCCACAATTCAAATATTTACCCCAGAAGTGGAACTGTTTGATGAAAGAAAGTTGTCAGTAGACGACCCCCTCACACATTCTCTAAAATGTGGCTCTACTTTGCAGTTTGAACAAATGCAGAAACTCAAAGTAGATCTTATTCAAAACTCACATTTCAACTGATTTTTACATAAAAACCAAACAATACAAATTTGGCAAGATTTCAATTCGAAACTGTAAAAGTAGTATAAGGGCCCTACCATCAATCAAACCCTAACCCCGCCCCTTGGCCTCTTAGTCCCGCCCCTTGACCCCTTAGCCCCGCCCACCAGAAGTCCCGCCCCCATGAGTTATTGCTTCCAGGGTCAAGGCTGCCACATGACCGGAAGCAAGGTGTGTCATGTGACACCCACCCCACCCCTTGACCCCACCCCTTGACTTCTGCCCCCCACCGGAAGTCCCGCCCCATGGGGTATTACTTCCAGGGTCAAGGCTGCCACGTGGCCGGAAGCAAGGTATGTCATGTGACCCCCTCTAACAACTCCTCCCACTGCCCTCTACCAATCAGGATGGGTTTCGCCCCTGTAGGACTTCCCCCAAGAGGAGCTTTGACCAATCAGGGCGAGTTCTGGGGCGGGGTGTCCTCTACGGAAGTGGGTCTTGTGACCCCTCTAACAACTTCTCCCCCCCACCACCCTCTACCAATCAGGATGGGTTTCGCCCCTGTAGGACCACCCAGAGAGGAGCTTTGACCAATCAGGGCGAGTTCTGGGGTGGGGGTGTCCTCTCTGGAAGTGGGTCTTGTGACCCCTCTAACAACTCCTCCCCCCACCCCACTACCAATCAGGAGGGGGTTTGTTCCAATAGGACCAAGAGGAGATTTAACCAATTAGGATGAGTTCCGGGGGCGGGGTGACCCGTCCGGAAATGATTCGTGTGACCCCTCTAACAACTCAGGCCGGCCAAAATAGGGCAGGTTCTGGGATGGGGTGAACCGCCCAGAAGAGGGGCGTATGACCCCTCTGCCAATCAGAGCACAGCACCATCACCCCATAAGGCCCAGCGTCGGGCAGAAGAGGCTCTCTTTTACCAAGAGCGCGTGTTTTAGAAATCGTGGAAACATGGACTCCTTCACCACCCCCGTGAGAACTTCAGACTTTGTTTTAGCCCCGAGGGCCTTCGACAAACCGCGGAGAAAGCGCTACATCAGCGACAGTTCCGAGTAGGACCCTTTGGCCCAGCCGTTGATGGACACACCGGAAATCGACTCCGAAACCCGGCTGCTTGTGAGGCACCGCGATGAGCGTGATGGCCTCTTGTTGTCCACCCCCCCCGAGAGGTGGAAGGTGATCATGGCTTGGGGGAGTTACGGGTAGACAAGATGAATGAAAAAGACGTGGCTCAGGTAAATGAATGTTTAAGAAGTGATGGTCGGGGTGGGGGTGTGTAATGGGGGGAGGGGAGGGCTAGGAACCAGGGATTGTGTAAATCAAAAACCAGGCATTGGGGTGCTTACGCTGTTTCTTTTTTGAAAAAAATCTCTCAACAGCTCGATGATGCCTTTCTGAAGGCCTTTGAGAACGTACACATCGGTAGCCCTGTGGGAGTAAATGTATCATGCATCAGCTGTTTTTGCTCATGTCTGAGACCCAGATCTCAAGAGGAAAAGGACAAAATGGAAGAATGAACCAGCACAGACACCCTCATATTAGGAGTCATGGTGTCCATTTTTACAGGCGGTTGTAAAACGTTGTGTTAAACCAGGCGATTAATAAAACTTATTTAAAAGTGTTAATATGAATGTTGTCCCCCATCCACACTTGTGTTAGTAAAAGATGGTACCAGTAACAGTCATGTCTCCACAGGCGGCTCTGTTAAAGAAAATATATTACACCCCCGGGGAAGTTGGGATCTTTGGCGGGGTGAACCCTCTTTTTCAAGTGGCTAAAAAGCATAGTAAAACTTTAAATAGAAGACAAGTAACAGCTTTGCTTTCAGACCAGGATGCTTATACTTTACACAAACCGGCTTGAATATGTTTTAAAAGAAACAAGACCATTGTTTCAGATGTGGATGCGCAATTGCAGGTGGATATGCACCAGTTCTCCAAACAGAACAGCAATTTTAAGTACATCTTGACAGTGGTAGACATTCTATCCAAATATGCCTGGGCTTTAGGCCTAAGAGACAAGACGAGTGGTGAGGTATCCAAGGCCTTTAAAGCTATTTTTAGCGAAGGGCGTGTGCCTCAAAAATTACAAGCCAATCGAGGGAAAGAATTTTTAAACAAACCCTTAAGCAGATTGTTAAAACGGCATGGCATTCACCATTTTGTTACTAATAATGAAGTCAAAGCAGGGGTTGTGGAGCGGTTTAACAGAACTTTAAAAACTAGGATGTGGAGATATTTTACAGCCCATAACACCTTTCGCTACATCGATGTGTTATCTGACTTTATAAAGAGTTACAACCAGAGCTTTCACAGAACTATACATACCAGACCCGCTGATGTTAACCCTTCAAATTCTCTGAAGGTATGGAAAATGGTTTATGGAGATGATTTTAAAATGAAACCGGTTGTTGCCCCTTTTCGAAAAGGCGACCACGTGAGACTATCTAAAACCAAAGGAGCTTTTGAAAAAGGTTATGAACATACATTTACCGATGAGATATTCATAGTGGATGAAGCCTTAACCAGGGGTCAGAGACCTGTATACCGATTAAAAGACTACAAGGGTGAGACAGTTAGTGGATCTTTTTACCCTGAAGAATTACAAAAAGTAAACCCCAAACGAGACAGGATTTACAGGGTTGAAAAAGTTCTAGCGGAGAAAGGAAAAGGGAGAAAAAAGCAACTACTGGTAAAATGGTTGGGGTGGCCAGATAAGTTTAACAGCTGGGTGAAAGCTTCTCAACTCTGTGACATTTCTTTGACGCAAACAACAAACAAACAAAAGTTATTCCTCCCTGCAAAGTCGGAGAAGATGAGCGATGGCGGGTTTTACATTACTTTGCCCAGCAACGCCAGCTCTGCAGTTTTTTCCCAAAACACCAGCTCGAACTTTACAATACGGCTAATTAAGCCCTTGGATCTCCGGGGTGCCTGGGAGGTGGGGTTAGTGGAAATACAATACCCGCACAGCTGGAACAGTATCAACAAAGACACCCCTTTTGAAGTCACCTTTGGAGATATGGCATGGAGTTTCATCCTACGACGAGGTTATTACGCGTCCATACCCGAATTACTGGATCATATGAACAGTATCATAGCTCGTCATCCCGGACCGTCTGAGATGGTCATGAACTACGACCCTGTGGGTAGAAAAATTAGACTTAAATCCGCCGCTTTTACTTTTATGTTTTCTACCAGCGGGGAGCTAGCTAACATTCTGGGCTTGGGCCCCGAACACAGCGTCCAAAATTTCCCTTTCTCAGCAGACATTACAGGGGGTTTTAATTCCTTGTATCTGTACACGGATATCGTAGAACATCAGTTTGTGGGGGACTTTTCTGTTCCCCTGTTACGTTGTGTCCCTGTCCAAGGAAGGAACAATGAGTTTGTCACCATCACCTACGATAAACCTCATTACGTCCCTATCAGTAAACACCACATCGATACTATTACCATTGAAATAAAGACAGATCAGAACAAAAGCGTCTCATTTCGCTTTGGCAAGGTGATCATCAAGCTACACCTGCACCCCCGGAGAGAGCGAGTTTTCTAAAAAAGCAAAACAGTATTATGGCGACCCCAACGTCTACAGAAACTATTACAAAGCCCAGGCGGGATACGCCCTACCCGGATATCATGGGGCCCCCGTAATGTATGGGGCAGGCGTGGGTGGAATATTCCATAGCCTCTTTCGAAAAGCCGTACCGCTTTTGAGGAGGGGGCTAGAGATTATTAAACCCCACGTAAAAACCGCCGCTCAAAACATAGCTAAAGATGTGGTAGGTCACGTCTCCCACGCTGTTCTGGAGAAGGTGGGGAACACAGCTTCACAGGAAGGATCGGGGCTGATGTACATTAAAAGGAGGAAGAAGAGAAAGAGAAATGCGTCATACCCACGACGCGCAGGTCCCCCGAAACCCTTTAAAAGAAGGGCTTTGACCCGCAGGGTCGGCCATAAGCGAAAGTCCAAGAGGAAGCCTGGGCGAAAGAGGAAACACTCGCCGGCTGATACGAGAGATATATTTTAATCAACATGGCTTTCGTTCACTGCGGGTCTGAAGAATGCACCAAATCCGAACTAGACTTGTTCCAAATAGCCCCTACGCAGACCAGCATTGAGAAAAGCATCTACATCGAGGTGCCACCTCCGTCGGCCGTTACGGAGTCTGCCCCCATTGACTTTTTTATAGCAGGGAATGGCATAGATTATATGGATTTAAACAACACACTGCTGTACCTGTGTTGCAAGATTGTAAAAGGAGATGGAACTGAACTCGAAGCGGACACCGAGGTGGGCCTGGTGAATTACCCAGTGGCCTCTATTTTTAGTCAGCTGGATGTCACGCTCGGAGACCGTCTTGTAAGCCAAAGCAACAACTGTTACCCTTACAGAGTCTTTATAGAATCGGTGCTCAATTACAGCAACGACACCCTCGCCACACAATTTTCCGCTGGCCTCTTTTACAAAGACACTGCCGGACAACAGGAAGACAGAGACTTGGATGGCGAGAATCTAGGGTTTGTGAGGCGTGCAAAGCTGACCGCTCAAAGCAGAACAGTAGAGCTTCTGGGTCATCTACACAGCAACCTGTTTTTTCAAGAAAAACTATTGTTGAACGGAGTGGATGTGAAAATTAAACTGACGCGCAGTAAAGATCCTTTCTGTTTAATGGGCAGCGGAACCGAAGGCTTTAAACTGCGCATTCTATCAGCATCCCTTTTTGTGAAGAAAGTACGGGTGGCCCCGAGCGTTCGTCTGGGGCACGCCGAGGCCCTGCTTACCGCTAATGCCAAATACCCCGTGGACCATGTGGGAATGAAAGTGTTTAGCATCCCTGCGGGCAGCAGGGTCAGTAACCAGGAGAACCTGTTCTTGGGACAGTTGCCCAAAATGCTTGTCCTGGGGTTCGTGGATGCCTTTAGCGGAAGTTACGCTAAAAATCCCTTTCATTTTAAGCATTACGATATTAATTTTGTGGCCTTGTGTGTGGATGGTGAGCAGATACCGACCAAGCCTCTGCAACCAGACTTCGAGGCAGGACGCTGCGTGAGAGAATACATGAATCCGGTACAGACAGCCGGTAAACACATGAAAGATCATTTTCTGTTAATCGACCCATGAGGAGTTTGCACAGGGTTACACCATGTTTGCCTTTGACCTGTCCCCCGACCAGGAATGCGCCGATCACTATTCCCTGATTAAAACTGGGAACTTGAGAGCAGAAATTCGTTTTGGGAAGGCTTTAACCATTACCGTCAATATGATCGTGTATGGGGTTTTTGACAACGTCATAGAGATAAATCAGAGGAGAAATGTTCTGTTTGACTACATGTGAACATGGACACCGTGCAGCTCTCACGTGTCTTATCAACGGACCCTTACACGAAAAAGAATTTCTTAGACGTGTTTCCCTGCGATTGGCTCCCTGGCGGCAAGCTGTCTCAGAGACCCCTAGGTTTGGTGGTCAACACGCATCCACACAGCCAACCGGGTGAACACTGGCTTGCCGTGTATCTGGTGGAGCGTAACCTTGGAGAGTTTTTTGACTCATACGGGCATCCCCCGAACAGTGTGTTCTTTCCTAAAAGCATTATGAAATTTTTAAACAAAAATGCCACAGACATTGTGTTTCACAACAGACAATTACAAGACCCCAGCTCCGTTGCCTGCGGCTATCACTTCGTGTTTTTCTTACACCATCGTAGCAAGAGTTTATCTTTTGACCGGATTTTAAAATTGTATTCTAATGACTTAGTGCAAAACGACCGGATGGTGATGAATTTTGTAAAAAATAAATTTAAATACTTGGCCATGCCTAGCCTTGCTCAAAGCATGTTTCAACAAGCCCAGACATGCGTATCTTGCAACAATTTTCATAGTCATGTTACCCAATAAAGCACCCCAGGTGAGGGGTTTAAAGACAATCGATGTTTGGCATGGTTTTTTAAAAAAAAAAATAAAACACAATGACCCAATTCAGAAATGTTTTATTTAAAGCAAAACATTACCAGTTTTAAAAAAAATAGAACGTGAAAAAGATCACAAACTGAGCCATTCGGCTCTTTTAGCCAATTTTCGTTTTTTAGATGGCAAAAAAGGGGTCACTGTTTCTTGGTCCACACCGGTGTCGGCAATCGAGGCCTTGAGGCGTTCTAAAAGATCTCTTTTTGATCTGACCACCCCAGTTTCTCGTGCAACTGTCTCGACTCTGCTAACAATTCTGCATCCGTAGGTTTATGACCGGCCGCAAAACATAGATTGGTACCGGTGTAAGTCAGGTCTACTAAACATTGTCTCTTTTTATGAATAATCTGACTACTAAGGATAGAATTTAAAACTCTTCGAGCACCCCCACCCCTATTTTTTACAACTGTCACAACGAGGTGCAACGTCCCATCGAGATGCAATTCTCTATTGCTCTGAAGCAGCTTTGAGGCCTGGTTTAAGAAATCCTCAGCGGACAGCTCATCCCTAGTTATTCTGACTGAAAACAAAGGGTTAGTTAAACGACGGCTCTCTAAACGTAACTGTACGTAATGATCAGGGCCTACCCTACCATTAACGTCATCAAGAACTAGCTATATCCCTCTGTGTATGGCTTCAACAGCCTGTTGAGCTGAATTTATTTGCTCAAGATGGACAAAACGAAACTCCTCACAATACACCGACCCCCCCAAATCTGGGTAATTCACGTTGCCAACTTCTCACTCTCTCTATATACACCTCTGCATTTTCAGGGTTACTTGGGGGTTCCTCTACGGAACCATCAGTGGCAAGAACTTTTTAAAGTTCTGTTAAACCGCTCCACAACCCCTGCTTTGACTTCAGAGTGCTTTGTCCACTCTGGACCCACTTCCAGAGAGGACACCCCCACCCCAGAACTCGCCCTGATTGGTCAAAGCTCCTCTCTGGGCAGTCCTACAGGGGCGAAACCCATCCTGATTGGTAGAGGGTTGGGGGGGGAGGAGTTGTTAGAGGGGTCACAAGACCCACTTCCGGAGAGGACACCCCGCCCCGGAACTCACCCTGATTGGTCAAAGCTCCTCTTGGGGGAAGTCCTACAGGGGCAAAACCCATCCTCATTGGTAGAGGGCAGTGGGAGGAGTTGTTAGAGGGGGTCACATGACATACCTTGCTTCCGGCCACGTGGCAGCCTTGACCCTGGAAGTAATACCCCATGGGGCGGGACTTCCGGTGGGGGGCAGAGGTCAAGGGGTGGGGTCAAGGGGTGGGGTGGGTGTCACATGACACACCTTGCTTCCGGTCATGTGGCAGCCTTGACCCTGGAAGCAATAACTCATGGGGGCGGGACTTCTGGTGGGCGGGGCTAAGGGGTCAAGGGGCGGGGTTAGGGTTTGATTGATGGTAGGGCCTTTATACTACTTGTAAATCTTCCCAGTTCCACTTGAGAGGTTGCACCTGACAGACCTTTTATTTAATTTGGGAGTTAATTTACCAATATCTAACATATGATAACTACTATGTATATGGGTTGGGGGTTCAATGGAAGCTTTCAAGTTTGGAGTAGCCTGTAAGTTATACAGTCTTGAAGCTTTCCAAACAAGTTCTTGGTAGCTGTTGGATTAGAAATGAGCAGACATGGGCAGGCTTAGGCTTTGCAAGAGCAAGATGGATATATATGCAGGTTGCATTTTGTCCAACCTACCAGAATTCATAGGATCAAAAGCTTTTGGTAGATAAGAGTTCTAGGTTTTGTCACATTTCTAATGGGAAGGTGATGCACGATAAAGGGATCAGCTGCTGCTCAGGTTGAGAAAACACAACCTTTTAAATGGGTATTATAAAGTGCTACTAGCATGGGTGTGATTCATGAAGTTGTGTGTGTTTTAAAGCCAAAAATGGTGGAGAAGTTCAAAAGACTATGAATCCCAGAGATTTATTCAACCTGGTGATATTCTAAACAAAAAGAGCCCTCAACCATGCTTGCAGCTGTTTCTATTGCTTTATGTTGATCCAACAGACATTCTAGGCTTCAGAGTGAAAGAGAGTGAAAGTCCTGGAATCTGATTATATAGATGAAAAATATTGAGGCTTGTTATCAATAAACTTGTTGGAATCTTTATTTTACATGTGCACAGATGTACATTGTAGAAAGTAAAATTGTAATAACTGTCTTATGGCTAAAATTTTGGATCTTTGCTTTTTTCAGATGCAGACTTCTAATGACCAATGTTACCAAGTTCAAACAAAAAAGAATAAGTGGTCCCTGACAAGCTATCTGGAAAGGTAACTCTTGCATGTTTGTTATCAATGTTCTTTATGAGCTGATAAGGACTAGACCTTTAAAAAACTACAAAGTGTGTAGGAAATATTCTATTACTAAATGTAAAAAGCAAGTAGTGAGTTTCTGAGTCTCAGACCTCTTCAGGAATGACCTGTTTGTCTGTCTCACACACACTCTCAACACTCTCTGTCTCGCACACACTCTCACACACCCCTTTCTCTTTATAGCAGGAGGGGCACCATTTGCTTCGGCACTTCAAAGGATCCTGTCTCCCTCTAACTCGGAAGGAGAGCTGGGGTCTCAGGCATACTTTCTTTGTAAGTGCTGTTCTGTATAAATGTATTGAAGAACATGAACATTTGAAATTTTGGGAGGCTCTTCATTTTGCTGGTTTAACGTGTTCTTGGAATCACTCTGTTTAAGTGGCTTTGGTCTGACCTTTGTATTTGCACCTACCCTTTGGGATGCACAAGTCCTTGTTTGTGCAAACTGCGTAGATATTAAACCAGGCTGTGTGTATAAATGCTATCAACATATACAATGCTGAGCTTTTTTTTTTTTTAGATGCCAAAGAAACTTTATGGAAACTTACTGATATAAAAGAATAACTCTTCCAACCATGTTGATAGCTTAGAATTGAACCTTGATGGACCAGTTCACTTTCTAAATACCAAGTTTTTATTGTAGTTCATATATTAGCAGTTTTAAAACTATCTCTCGTAGCAGAGGAAATCTTGATATCCGTGTCATCTTGTGCTCCCAATATGGTTTCAGTAAGATTCTTTAGGAAGCAAGCAGGCAGTCAAACTGAGAGAGGAAATTTATTTTTAATTTCCTGAGACATAATCTTACTCTTCTGGATAACTATACAATTAATTCAACTCCGATATTACTTTTCAATGGAATTAGATAAAGCCTGAAGGCACATAAGCAAGTTACAAGTACATGACACTGGACCTGAATGTACTAAGCTAATACCGTTGTCAGAACAATAGAATACTTCAGATTCTCTTCCCATGTTGGTTCATCATCTTGGCCTGATTTTTGAGGACAACAGCTCCATTACTGATTGAATCCTTATTAAAATTTTCAGATCAAGTACTGGCAAAAATGTTGGAGTGACAGCTCTGAAAACTGAATTCCATTAGCTACAAAATAGAGCAATGTCAATGCAAACGTACTTACGTTGCCCAGCTAATGACTACAGTCTTAACAACTATTTTTTCACTTCTAAAACTACCACCTCTGTTTCCATGACCATACTTTCCTTAGCCACTCTGAAAGAGTTTCAGAACGTGCAATTAGTGTTGGCAGTTTCTTAAGTGGATCACTTTCTGCTTTGGTCCGAATTACGTGGTCTCAGTCCAGGGACTAAACAGCCAGTCTGGTAACCTGGTTGCTATTAATCTGGGTTGGTGGTGCTCCATATTGCAACCCCAAGCCCCTGTACTCTGCAGTTTCTGCTTCTGAAAGTTTATAGAGTAGTGTATTTCCTGACTGATTATGGTCTCAGGAGTAAATGGATACAGTGAAATGGCAACAGAATGAAACAGTCCATTTCTTGTGGTGGTGATCCTGTGCGTGAGGGAAATACAAGTGCCTGACTTGTTAGTCAGAGCTGGCACGTTCTGTGAATCTTTGGAAAACATTCTGCTATTTCTCTCTTCTTTTATCATTAAGTTGTTTTATGAAATGTGAGGGATTTTTGTTAAAATACTTAGCGACGCCCTGGAATTGATTGCATTCCCCTTCCTAATGGCTTTTATTATAAACTAGATCAGTTTACAAGGGTTTTTTTTAAAAGCCAACCTCTAAATACTACAGCCTAGAACCTTAAAAATCAAGCTGTGTTCTTTCTGACTCATGTGCAGTGACTTGTTAACAATTCAGCAACTGAAACTTATTTGACAGGGTTTTAATATTAATCAAATGCTAGAATAAAATCAATCTCCAGTAACTGTATTCTGATTCTGAATCCATCCTGTGCTGACAGATGTCACATAGGAAACGAACAAGGCTTTGCCATGCTGGCCTATCATGCTGTTTGCCAGAATGGCTACCTTATTGTGTTTATGTAACTCTGTTACAAG